AATTGACGGACTTGGAAAATCCTCCCCCCCGCCCCAAGAGCACCAAACTAAAAAATTCCACTGTATTATATTTTATAATGATGTCTTAAATTTGATTTTTTATGTCCATACAAGTTGAGATCTGAAAAAGTGAATTGATTAGTTCTTACGTTTCTTTATTCCCTTATATTATACTACTGTGTCTGATATCCAAATTAATGTTGTGTTTATACCTTTGTCGCATGATTGAATTATTAGTATTAACGACATTATTACCATTCGTAATGATGTTATTACTTATATATATATATATATATATATATTCACGACGATAATTTATCGTAACGCAATAATTCAGCGCGCCACGTTTCCGTGATGTCCCTCCTCCGCATACRTACTTCCGACTACGTCTACATGGTGACGGCAGCAAACGATTCCGGACGACGCGTATTTTGATTTACGGGCAAATGTCACATCAGAACTATCATAACTAAACGCGTTATTACTTTAGTAGGTACGCTATGACGCGCGCCATTTTACCTGTGTAGGTAGTGAAACCTGAGAACCGTATAAAACATAATATTATWTCGTGTGCATTCAGCATTCGGTAAGTACATCAAAACRTTTAATAGCCAACTATCGGTGGTGTCGATCTATGACTAAATTATAATAATGTTTTAATGATACTCGACGAACCAGAGACTTAAGAGAAGAAAATAACACCAACGTCACCAACTGAAATGACGCGTATTCGAAGACCCGGTTCGAATAATAATCATAGTCGTGATATAAGGTGTAACTGGACTATTTAACAAATTACCATTACTAGCTGTTACACCCTGTACCTATACTGTCGTCATTTCCTCTTGTGTYCAATCATCCTGGTTTCTTCTGTTGTTGTTCCAKTKGATAAAATGTACTACGAATTTTTTCAAACCACACACTCTCATTTTATAATTTAAAAAGAGATATTATAAATATTAATTTCAACTGATGGCGCGAGTCGTGCATTCTTAAGACAACCGTGTTAAAATACTTAAGCCTTACTGTAAATGCAATTAAACTAATAAGTTTCTCTCTTTTTTTTTCTTTATTTCTCTCACGTCTCCTCTCACTCCGAATTCATTACGCTCCGTAAAGCATATTATAATATAAAATGTACATCGTGTTCACAATAATGTACGCGTGCGATGACGGTTGAAGCTCGACCGAATGAGCAATGAGAGATGTTTTTCGTGGTTCGATAACATATTGTGGAGAACGCAAGACGTATAATGATTATTAATATAATAAAATTGATATACGTCATTGTTTTCCTTACGTATATTCGCAAATACGAGTGAAAATGCATAGGTTAAGTGGTAGTTAATGCTGTCTTAAAGAGCTGACAGTTGACGCCTCTCTTATCCCTATATAAATAGTATAAATATATGAATACATTTATTCAAAAATTTATAGTACATATATACAATAGCATAACGACTTATGTCCATATAGACAAAAAAAAAAAAAAAAA